TATTCCTTTGAATCAACAGTCAGATATCCGCACCCCAAAACGTCACTGTCATTCGAAGCCAGGTTGCTGCTTTAGGCACAATTTCTGGCACTTCCGCAACATGGTTTAGTGCCTCTGCACTTTCCCCAATCTGGTATTTTGAGGCCCTTTTCTTACACAGGCAGTTTCTATGCAAGCATACAGGCAAAAAGCTGAGGCCCAAAAGATCTTTTACTGTAAACTGCCAGTACTTCGGAGCACATGATTCACCCTGAATTATCAAATGGTTCCACTACACCCAAGTAAAGTCTAAGGTCTGTCAAAACAAGTTGCACTGAGACATTCCATGATGCTTCAGGAAAGAAAAGGAGCATTGTTCCTTATTTAGCAGAATGCAGTCACTAGCCCTGTACAGACAGGGAGAAGAAGCTTTGTGAAGAGGCTGAGCACACAGTATGACTGAACAGTGCTTTTTGTGGGCAAGAACCTTTCATATGAAGAAAAGGGGAAGTGACACCCAGTGAGGTTGCCTGGTCCAGGATGAAGGGTGCTAAAGGCACAGGACCCAGACTCTGTACTCACTCTGCCGATGAGTTGTGAATTTGGCAGCCAACTTTACCTCCGTGTGACTCAGTTTCTAGCTACAAAGCAGCTGTACTATTTTTTATGTTCCTTGTAAAATGCTTTGATAACAATAAATCTTCGACTGTTACTGTGCAAATGCACTGTAATACACCCTGCCAAAGGACAGCCACTGCTATGCAACCAAGTAATAGCCTGACTTAGACATACAGTAAACCCCAGGCAGGGACTGAATCCTAACTGCTCAACCCCTAATCCTATACAACAGTAAATACATCCTTCCCTTGCTGATAGTCCTATTGCTGGCCAGGCACAAAGGGCTTTGGGAAAAATGGATCAGAATTCCTCCTAGAGCAAGCAATTGACTGCTAAAGTACACCTCTATCTAAATCCAGATGTGGGAAGCCCCAGCTGTGTTTTCTAATGTCTGCACTTGAGGCTTAGCAGAATTACAGTCCAGCAGCTGCTCAGTCTCTTGCAGACCAGACAGGCAACCTGGCAAGGTTCAGGTGGTTCTTCAGATCCCAGCCTTTCTCACTCTGGCCAAGCCTTAAACAAGTGTGTCTGACCATCCCGTGGCTTTAACAGTGTAAAGGGAATGTAAAATACTAGCAGACTCACACCAAAACAAAGCTGATGTGAAATGAGACTTAGCCCTACTATGTGGAAAATAGAAGTCTGTCTGAAGAGCTTCATGTATTTAGTGAAACCCAGGCTCTGAGGCATTTGGTACTACAGGTTGCATTTAGTTATGGACTGATCCTAATGGGCTGAACTGGACGAGGGAGACAGGAGTCAAAACAGCCCTCTTCATAGTGAATCCTATTAGCTATAAATAGCACTCATTGCAAGGAGAGGATGAGTGCAAGGTTCTTCTGCTAAGATCACAGTAGCAGGGACATTTTTATCACAGATCATGCATGTTACACTAAGGGGAACTGAACAGCTGCCAGAACAAGACAGTAGCAAGTCCACACTGCCAGAAAATTACTTCAACCAGAAAAGCAAACCAAAATCAAACCCAAGTTATTTCCCGTAGCAAGGATTCAGATCTCACAGACAGGATGCCATCTAATCATCTCAAGTCCACTAACAGATACAGCACACCTTGAAGAGTGAGGGAGAGAGACTGTATTTGCGGGAAATCCAGGAAATACCTACTGCAGCTAAGAACCCACTGCTTGAAGGAAAATATTACATGAAGCACTTGGTGAGGGGGCAGGCAATGAGCAGCCTGCTCGAGAGAACACAGAGCCGTACCTGCACCGCACCACTTCCTGCATGCATACTGCTGGGGATGAGCAGTTCTCACATAGCAAAGTGTGTAGGTATTTCCCCATGTAGACAGAGCCTATGTAGTAACCTTGCATTTCACTTTGCTGCTGTTGGGAGACCTAGATTTCAAAACAACCTCTGCTTGGGCTTTTAAAAATTCACTGCCGTTTAACTGTCTGGAGAGCAGTCAATCCCAGGCCTGTTGTTCAATGCAATCTCGGAGGGAAAAAATAGCTATTTCCAATGACTTACTGCACACAACCAACTACATAATTAAATTGCCAGAGGAAATGATCTTCCAACTTGAAAAAGAAAAGGTATATTATTGTTAAAATACAGACACATTAATGTATTGGAGCTGTCAGGCCCATTTCTGACACGTCTGTGTGCTCCATCTGTTTTAAAACACTGCCATTTCCTAAAGGAGAGAGAACAAACTGAGGCCACATGGACAGAGTCACCAGAGAGAAGATCATGCCCCGTATAGTTTCCCTGCATTATAAACTAGTGCTTTTAGCAGCCATACATTCCCATGCCACCATCCAGCTGTGGGATTGAATTATTTAGCTGCCTCAGAGCAGGATAAGTCTCAATAAACAGCAGGGAAACACCTTGAAGGCAGGATAGTGCATTAATGAGAGGAGGGCAGGAGCTGCGTGATGCCCACAGGGGAGTTTGCTGCATTTCAACATTAAACAAAAGTCATCCTGCTTTAGATGTCTCCAGGTGATGCTGTCCACAACTTACTTTAGCTTGGGACTTTGAAAGGGAAGGGAAATACACTGGCCTGAACCTGCAATTTACAGGGCCCCTTTAGCAATCTGTAATTATGTTCATCATGGAGAAAGCATCACTCTAAGATGATCTGTGAAGCAGAACAGGCATTAGCAGCAGAAGGGACAACTGTGCTGCATTCTCTGTCCCTGCTCATGAGATAATGAGGCTGATGGTGTGGTGCTCAGCCAGCAGGATGGACAGAGAGGGAAAAGAATGCAACGGAACAAAAGAAACTTGCCTGTAGCATCTTGGCTGTGTTGGGTAACTTTCCAGGCATGGTTGTTGACCAAAGGTGCCAGATAGAGACATACAATCAAAATCCCTAGGGAAACCGGAACTATACCTGGCCTGTAGGTCCAAAGCATGTGTAGGGTTGCACCTGAGCTCTGCATATACACCTAGGAGCTTGCCAGTAGCTTACTTAGTTACTTGTGTATGTTACTGCACAGATTTGGAAAGTACATCCTTATATTTCAAGGTATCTAGCCACCAAAAGAGCCACCTGGCCAGAAAAGATTGCTCTATCAAAAGAACAGACACTGAATCAGCAAGACAATTCCTGCAATACCCCAATTCACTGCTTGTGTTAAATTAAGTCTGACTTTTTATCTTGAATCTGGTTTTATACCCAAACATTAGGTTTAGTAGCCACTCACTTCCAGCCTTCTAACATCAGAGTGCTGTGTTGGCATCAGACACCTTGAGACGCTCTTTCACATTCAGGGGACTTCTATAAATAAGCACCTAAGGTACAAAGAGATAGGGGAGGAAGTACAGTTGGTGGATCAAAGCAGAAGGCACAGAATTACAGGGTTTCTTGCTCGTTTCCAACTGTGTCTGTGATGTGATGCATGTCCTTGGCAAGTCACTTAACCTCTCTGTACCGTAGGTTCTGCACTTGCAAAATTTATTTTGATTTTACTTTTGTTATAATATGAAGTGTGTGATATGGAAGAGAGATCCCAAGTGGGAGACGTGAGAGTGAATCTATTTTTATGCTGGGAGAGGGACTTTTTTTTTCCACAGTTGAGCTGTCTGTGGGTAAAACCAGACAGTGAGGGTGGGGCTAGCACTGAATGGAAAACTGTTCTGTGCTCCCATTATTAATTATATTATTAATATACAGGTTACTATTAGCTTATGCCAGAGAAGGATCTGCTGGCCTCAAGCACAGGAAGTGTAAGCTTGAGCTAAAGCAATACTTTGCTAGCTAAAAATGAGACTGAGATACTCCGTGGAGGAGGGGATGGAGTATTTACACAGTTACGCAGAGCAATCAAAGGGGACCTGTGGCTGGCGTGAAGCTGTGAGGCTCAAGTTTCACACCAGTTTGTTTTCCCCATGCTAAGCCCAGGACGGATGTTCATTTTCTGTGAAGAATGAAGTATGGGGGCAGAACAGTCAGGTGGGGGCTGAGCTTTGCAAGGATGAGGAACCACTAAACACGAACAAAAATAAGCTATGCACTCTAAGAAAGAATAAAACACACCAACAGACTATCCCTACCACCAGGTGAGAAAGCAAATAGCAGCCCCGGTTTGGTTTCAGCACAAGCCCCCGCAATTTTCATTCATTTTCAGCTTGCAGACAGGAAATCATGCAGACCATCCTGCACGATGCACAGCCAGGCAGTGGCTGCCCCTGCATTTTGTACTGAGTCCATACAGAGTCCAACGGAACTAATTTTTTGTGCACCCTGAAGAGGGAAGCCGACAGCAATCTGTACTCCCCATGCAGCTACAGGATTCCCATCTCTGAAATTTCTTGGTACTTCTCACTCCTTATTTTATGATTTATTAGTCTCCCTAACAGCAGAATAAGCAAATAAAGAACACTTTTAAAATTATATTTTCCTGACCAAGACGGATTTCAGTCCCCTAGACATTCAACCTACTGAACAAGATGGGGGAAAATAACAGCCAGCCTGCTCTTTTGTCAGCCTCTCCCAAGAAATGTGTGCCCACAAAGCAGATATACAGGCTTTCCAACAGCCTTCAGACATAGAGACTTCATATACTCAGGAGAGAAGTCAATTCTATAAAACAAACTGTGCTCCATAACCTTGCTGCAGTTTATATTATTTACTGGTACAACAGTACAGCGCTGTGAGGAGAATAAAAACTCCAAGCTTAAAAACACCAGCTGTAAAACAGCCACAAACTCTTCAGAAAACTATTGCTGATTTGCAGACCCCTGGCTGAGCTGCCCAGTATGCCTCTCTGCTAGTAAGCAGCTCTCCCGCCCTGAAATCTTGTGCGTTTTTCTCCTTCTCTGTTCCTCAAAGCACTCAAAGCACTGGGACACATAACAGTTCCTGAGAGATGCTGCACAAAAGCATGCTGCCTTGCCCCAGAAAGGTCTGTGTGAGACTTGGGACATGCATTTACCTCCGTGAAGCCCTCCTGAAGAATATCCAGTAAATTCCCCCTGGCCAAACAAGCGAGCATTCTCCACGAGCCCACCGATGGGCGAGGGTCTCACAGGACACAGGGCAGATCCTCCAGCTCTGGGCACAACCTCTTCCTCCTTCTCCCAAAGACAAAGAGTTGGAGCTCATCAGGAACCGCATTCATAGTCTCATATGTGCAGCCCGTTACTGCACACAGATAGTTGAGCCAAAGTCAAGGCTTGCACTGGGCATGCTCGAGAGGGAGCTGCTGGGGGAGCGGCGGGAGAGATGTCACACGGTTCCTATAGAAACGCTTCAGCTTACAAGATGCAGGCCCAGGACTGAGTTGGGGAAACATCTGAAACCCATTTCCAGCAGTCATACTCACACAAAACCTGCTGCGTAAAAGAGATTTTCAAACCCACCAAACACAGCAAGCCCTGTTATGGCGTGGGGGCAGGGAGAAAGTCGAAGAACAGCAAATAGCAGATGCCTTGCTTAGCTAGAAAAGAAAAAGGAAAGAGCTGCCAGCTTTAACTCTCAGCAATCATTCTGCAGCTCCAAAGAAACAGCAGCATTGTCAGCAACCTGGTAGAGACAGGAAGCTGCAAACCAGGCCACAACACAGCTAGTAATATCTGCATGGTGCACGGCCCTGCTATAGCTGCCCTGGCAATGAAGTTGAAAAAAGACAGAAAACTTTCAAACCAGAATTATATACAATCCCCAGCAATTTTTCTAAATCAATCATAACTGCATTCATCCCAGAAACAAGTGTCAAATATCTCCAGGCAATCTCTCGAACTTCATCTCACCTTACAGTAAATGCCCAGGAAAAAAAAAAAAAGAAAAACCTAAAAACCTTTCAGAATGGATGAAGACACCTTCTGCCAGGGGCTCTGGCTTCCAGTCCACAGAGCAACACTGCAAGTATTGCCCAGTGATATTGGACTGGGCCTTCAGATTTCAAAATGTCTGGCCAAACATTTCTAAGGGAGAGACACATTTAAAAACAAACATGTTTTTCTGCCTAAGTATTGAAGCATCTGGAGGAAAAAGCAATTGCATAATTTCACCCTGTCACATATGGAGATGCTGCTAAAATACAGAAAGACAAGCAATAGGTAATTTCCCTCTGTAACCAACCCAAGTCATTCAAAAAGGAGTCAGCCCCCAACCCTCCATGACATAAGTTTTAAATTATTTATTCATATTTGCCTTCCCTACTTTTCATAATTCAGTGGGAACTGAGATTTTTATGTTTTCATTGATTGTAATATCACTTCTGTCAAGCAAAACAACAGATTACTGCAAGGCTTTGCATAGAGTTTTGTAAGCTGGCAATGCTCGTGGTTAGTACCTTGATCCAGTTTACTTCTGAGACTCAAAATGCCATTGAATAGACAGCAATAAATATTTATCCCCATTTTTTGTGATGCAATCAACTAACTTATGCTTTTGCAATTTCAGCAAAATTTCATAGAAAAACTGAATAAGTGGTTTCCCCATCAGACAGAAAGTGATCCAATTTAAAACAAAACAAAACAAAACAAAACCCAACAACCACAAAACACACTATTAGCTTTTTCTGTGGGCTTTGTAATGCTATTGTTGGCTAATAATCTCAAAGAAAGACTTATATTTATTATCTGTTTCTCAGTGCTACAGAGTAAACACACATTCATAGAAGACTTCCATTATTAACAGGTAAGGATATGGAGGTCATCCCTTCCCTCCACCACTTCCATTTCTGGAACAAAAATAATTAATTCCAGATGTACTGATGTAAAATCAAATGTACTCTAAATGCACAGAGAGGTTGCAGATGGCCGTTAGGTATTCTCTGATTGTTTTTATAATTTGTTTTATGAATTTGATAGCAGATTAAATATTTTATGCTCATAATTCCCACAAACTCTAGATATTTACCCTTGTCCTTTGAGGAGCAGAGAAGCCAAAAGCAGGCAGTCCCTAGCCACAGACTTTACACTGGAGACATAACCCAAGTTTACAGGATTAAAAAATAAATAAAAATAAGAATAAAGAGATAGTCCTTCAGACAGCATAGAAATGCAAAGCACAAACAGGTTTTAAATGTAAAGTGTACTATTTAAATCACGATAAGAGGATACACTGAGACCACCAGTCCGTTTATTGTGGTCCACCTCAGTGGCATATAGTAGGTGTACTGTTGCATTAGTGATAGGCAACGAGGAAGCACTTTTAACACTTGTGCTCCACCCCGTAAGAACTACAACACATCTGGGCAACAGCAGGATATAGAGACTGCCATTCAGTCACTGCTTGCAGTGCAACCTGCATTTGTCCGTAGAGCTTGTATGTTAAGTCTTGGCAGGCATCTCTAGTTTGTCAGGGATGCAGACTGGCTTTGTTCAGAAGTGGGACACGGCTATTTGATCATCTAAATGCAAACCAATTCCAAGGTCCCTGTACAAGCTCTCTGTGGCATCACCCCCAATTACAGCTTAGCGGTCATATGAGATACAAAACACATCCTTCAATCACAGTATGCTCCCCATGCCCTTGCATAGCAGGACAGCATTACGCAGCGTGATGGTGAAGGGGCTGTCAGCCACATGGGTTGAGCAGCTGGCTTTGCAGATAAGCCATAAAACCAGTCCTGGACTTCCTTTCAGAAACACAGTGATGGATCTATATATGTATAACAAATAAAATAGTCAAATGTGGTCTAGGGAAGGGCAATTTCTCCTAGGCCAACCAAATACAGCAAATGACAAAAAACCCCACGTAGTTATTAACACCAAGAAGCATTTCTCTCACCGCTACTCCCTACGCCCCTATTTCCTAGCACAAATCAGGAGACCTAAAGCCAGATGTGTCACCCATAGTACAGTAGTGCCACGCCTGAGAAATGCAGAAATACTATCTCAGCTGAACATATTGGGGGAACTGTGAAGAAGTTGGTTTGGATCAGCAAGACTCTTCAAGCCAGAAGCCCTACCCTGCCTGCCTATTTGGATCAACCAAGAAAAGCTGGGACTGAAGTCTGAAATTCAGGTGCTCCCATATCCCTGTTACAAAGCTTCTACCTACTAGAACACCAACACAGTGAAAGGCAAAGTGTCCTCTCTACACTTGCCAGGTTCACATACAGGCCCGCTCACAGTATGTTTTCCATCAGAGATTTTGTCATCAAAGATGCGCTTCTACATGGGGTTTCTTATCTTTGAAACAGAACTGCCTCACGTTGACAATATGAATGTCAGAGAATAGAAACTAGGCCATTTCTGATGGCTAGACTGAGAGGCAGAGCATGCTGAGCCATTCTTCTGTTTATTGTGGTAATACAAATGTATCTTGGGTGTATGTGTGTGCTGAAAATAACTTTTAAAAATTAAATGCTTGTTCTCCCATCTTTGTGTTTCACCTTTAAATGTCAAGCTTCTTGTAGCAGGAATCATATTTTTCTTTCAGTTTTATAACATCATAGTAGATGCCTTTGAATGTTATCTTTGCAAGAAGCAAACAAAACAGCCTCTCACTAAAACTAATGTTTCACAATTCTCCCTGAATATGCCCCCACTCGGGACATGGTTTGGTAGGCACGGTGGTGTTGGGTTGAGAGTTGGACTTGATGATGTCAGAGGTCTTTTCCAACCTTAAATGATTCTATGATTCTATGAACTGTTGTTCCTCGTGTGAGTGACCTTCAAAACCAACATGTAGGATGGCGGTTTGGTTGGTAACATTGCCCTCTCCTGGCCAATATCAGCATAACCCCAACCCTTGTACTTGCCCCTGTTGAATTCTGCACAAGGTGCATGACAAAGCCCCGTTACTGCTCTCTTGCCTGTAGTTGTGATGAGGCTGTCGTGTCATGGCAGCACCACCAGGATCAACACATAAGCCTTCTTTCAAGCCTTCCATCCGAGGATTTTAAGGCACTTTATCAACATTCTCTGATTATTTCATTTATCAGCTTTTGAGAAAGAGAGAAAGATCAATGGCCACAGTTCAGCTCTTGCTTGTAAAATTTTGGTTGGGGAAATAAAAGCACGTGAGGCTGATTCAGAAACAAAGGTTGTGAGGTTTGTGAGACCATGACTGCAGTAATAGCAAAGAGCTGCCTAATGCAAGTAATGCCTTTGTGTCACTGAGTGTCCCATCCCCACCTGCCCATCAAGTATCCAAAACAGAGGTCAGACACAGAAAGAACTCCTGAAACTCACAGAGGATGCAGCAGGCTGTGATGTGTGTTGGGGCACCGTGTCCACTAAAGTTCCCATGCTGGATGTCACAGCTCAGCTCAGTGCCAAGAAAATGCACCAGCACTCCTTCCCCGTTGAAGCCTGAGGGGGAGAAGTAAGCGTATTAAATACAAAGTAAAGAATTTTCTGAGAGGGAGAACAGACTTACTGACAAAATATCTGAATATAAGCAAAACAAAGGAGGAAAGTTGCCACTTCCATTGCCTGCAGAAAATACATTTAAGGGTGACAGTCTTAGGGAAATTTACATATTTTTGTATTTTCTTCCACATGTACAGTATGTATGGTGGACAGAATTCCCCTGAAACACATCCAGAAAAAATTCCAGATTACATTGGCTTACACTGCACATAGGATCTAATTATCTCTTCCCATTTGTGGAGGGGGAATCCAAATTCAACAGAAGTTGGATATGCCAGCCAAAGCTGTAGTGGTCCCTAGTGTCAAATATTCAGGGTATTACTTGATTCAATGCACTTAGCTCAGACAGCAAATATTCATAAATAATTTTAAGAAACAATTCCACATACTGACATTTATATTTAGGAATTTTCTGGTAATCTATATTTTCTTTGCTTAGTCTTCCTTTAGAAGTCCAGAGTGAAGTCTGGTGAAAGGAAAGGTGGGGGAGTTTGGAAGAGTTAGCAGAAAGGATAACGGTAAGGTTCCTTGAGAAAGACTGAATGACAGTACGAATCACTGTTTTTAAGAATCATTTCAAGGTGGCCAAGAGCGTAACCCTTAGGCAGATGGGCACTATGATCTTGGTTGTGTCATCCTGGTGCATCTGTAGGGACCAACGATCAGG